TAAATAAGTAAAACTAAAATTAAAAGATTGGAAGAATTGGAAGTGACTTAAAAAATTATCAAGAGGTTGGTAACACCACCTGGTTACAAAAAAGGTAAAGGTAACATGTATTAAGTTTCCAGTGAAGAGTGAAAATGAAGATTCTGGAGCTCTGGCATCGAGGTCTTTACCTTCTGAGGCAGGAATGTTGAGATGATATTTTGGGTGCTGAGCAGATGGCTCAAAGGACTGGAGCACATGTTCGGCATGTGGGATCCCAGGTTTCCCCAGGACTACATCATCTCCCAGCACAGTAGGAAGCACCCCCTGAGTACCACACCAGGAGTACCTGCAAGTGCTGCCGAGTGTGGCTCAAAGGAAATTATTTTTTAAAGAAGAAATTTTAATTTCTTTTCTTTTCTTGTTCAGCTTTTATTTATTTATTTATTTTATTTTTTATTAGTGAAACACCACGAGGTACAGTTGTACACTTAAAAATTTTTGTGCTTGGGTTTCAGTTATACAATGATCAAGTACCCATCCCTCCACCAGTGCCCATTCTCCACCACCACTGATCCCAGTATCCCTCCCACCCCCCATCCTCCCCGTCCCACCCTGCCTCTGTGGCAGGGCATTCCCTTTTGTTCTCTCTCTCCTTTTGGGTGCTGTGGTTTGCAAAAGAGGCATTGAGTGGCAATCATGTTCGGTCTATAGTCTACTTTCAGCATGTGTCTCCTATCCTGGGAGGATCTTCCCAACACCTTTATTTGGTGCTCCCTTCTCTATCTGAGCTGCCTTTTCCCCTAGAATGTGCGGCTGACCTCCAAGCCATGGAGTGAACCTCCTGGTACTTATCTCGGCTGTTCTTGGGTGTTAGTCTCCTATTTTGTTACTTTATGTTCTCCAGATGAATGCAAGTTTTCTATTCTGTCCCTTTCTTTCTGACTCAAGAAATTTTAATTTCTTAGGATACTAGATCCACTGATGGAGAGTGAAGTGTTTCAAAAGGTATTTAATGAGAGTTTTAAGGACTGGAGAGAGTTCAAAAGGCAAGGTACCTTGAGTATGGTAGACCCTAGGTTGATTTCTGGCACCCATATGGTCCTCCAAACACTGCCAGGACTGATCCCTGAGTACAGAACCAGAAAAAGTCCTGTGCACTGCAGGGTGTGGCCCATTGGACCCAGTCACATAGCCAACAATGGAGGTTTGGCTCCTGGTCCGGGTGTAGAGGGATCCTCTCCTGTCAAGAGCCCTCCCCTAACCTGCATGGCTGCTCCTTCCTCTCTGATCACATTCAAGAAGTCCAATAGCACCGGCCACTCAGAAGAAAAGTGCCTTGCAGAAATGGCTACCTAAATGCCACAAGCTGAAAGGGGAGTGTTCTGTATTTATCTGTTTAGCATCTAGTCCTCCAGCTGTATTAATTCGATTTTCTTCTCTGTGTGCTGCCTTTTGTGGCTTCATAGACCAAGGGGAGGCTGAATCTCTCAGAGCTAGTTAATTCCCACAGAAGTAAAGCAACTTACTTGGAAACCTGTCTCTCGGTGGTGAACCCATCGATCTAGCAAGCCTGTTATGACCAGCCACTTCCCTATCAGTGCTTACTTTATTTTGTGTTTTAAAACCAAGCAGATTGAGGGTAAAGGGGATAGTACAGTTGGTAGGGTGTTTATCTTGCACACAGCTGGCCCAGATTTGATCCCCAGCATTCTATATCATCCTCCCAGCACCACCAGGAAGGATTCCTGAGTGCAGAGCCAGGAATAAGCCCTGAGCACCACTGGGTGTGACTCAGAAAAACAAAAAGAAACAAACAAACAAATTAAACAGATCTCTATTTCTCCTATCCTAAGTAAACCCAGAGCCAGGTAACAGCCAATTTGGAATGGTGCCTTCCACACTACCTAACCTTCATTTCCTCTTTCCTTGTCTTATTGAAGATTTCAAATAGCAGAGACAATACAGTGCCACCAGTACATATCCATTCCAAAGAAGACCCCCTGTTTTCAGAGCAAAATACTAGGAAAATTACAGTTATTTATTTTCATTATTAGTTTTGGGGAGAAAGGGGTGTTGGGCTCCAGAGGGTTCACACCTGGCTGTGCTGTGCACTGCTGATCAGCCGTGAGCAAGACAAGCAAGACAAGCCATAAGCAGCTAGATTCTCTCTCAGGCCATCATGAATAAGTACTTAATAAATGAAATCAGGGCTGGGGAGATAGTAGAGCAGGTAGAGTGCTTGCCTTGCATGTGGCCAACCCAGGTTTGATCCTAACATCCCATATGTTTTCTTGAGGAGTAATTCCTGAAGGCAGAGCCAGGAGTGACCCCTGAGCATTGCAGGGTAAGGCCCCAAACAAACAAACAAACATAAATAAATAAATAAATAAATAAGTGAAATGAAATAATATGCCCCCTAACTCTTTGCCAGTGTAATAAGTTTGCATCTTAATATCATAAATTGTAACACTATTGTAACTCCTGCACCAGGTGAGGATGGGAGGGCTCTCTCCTTTCAAGCAAGACCTTAACCTGGGTACTATCTTTTCAGGTCTGTTTCCGGTATTTATCAGAAATGTATGTAATAGGTGCTGTGCTACTTTTTCACGAATGACAGTCATGATCTGCTCCTACTCAACCTTTTTGCTTGGTTGGTTTGGGGCTCACACCCAGCGGTGCTCAGGAGTTACTAGCGTCTTTGGGTCTTTTTTGTATTGGCGGGGAGCAGTCTGGCGTCAGGTGGTTCAGGGTCCACTGTATGCAAGGCCTTACTTGATGTAATATCCCAGCCTCTGTCCCTATTCACTCACTAGAGATTCCAATGGCTCCTCTGACCTATACCTTTTGATTGGGAATAAGTTAACCGGGAAATCTTGGTGACAATGCACACTTCTAGGCTACTATCCCCTACAGGTCTTGAATCTTGAAAATATGCATTTTAAGAAGGACCATTTCCTCACTTTAGAGAAACCGGGACTCTAGTCTGAAACCTAGCATGCATGGGAGTTGCTCAGCTGGACACACACATGCTGACACACAGACATTGTGCACAGATACGCTCACACTCACTGTGGCATGCAGGCATGCATGCAGATGCACAAACACAGAGGGGCACACACATGTGTTCATTCATTTATGCTCATATTCTTCTCCTAGGCGTTCCCAGGCTTCAGTGATTTTGTTTTAAAAAGGTCTCAAGGGGCTTGAGCGATAGTACTGTGGGTAGGGCGTTTGCCTTGCATGCAGCTGACCCAAGTTCAGTTCCCAGCATCCCATATGGTCCCCTGAGCACCTCCAGGAGAAATTCTTGAGTGCAGAACCAGGAGGAACCCCTGTGCATTGCTGATTGTGACCCAAAAAGCAAAAAAAAAAAAATTAATAATAATAAATAAAATAAAAAAGGTCTCAAATTGTCTACCTGACCAACTCCACCTGAATATTAGTTAAGAGGCACCTTATCTAGCTTTCTCTGGGGAGTTAGGAACAATGTTGAGTTCTTATTTCTGGTTCTGTGCTTAGGAGAACACAGGCCATGCCTAGGATCTAACTGGTAGGACATGTGCAAGGTAAGGGCCTTAACTCTGCACTATTTTGGGTGGCCCCTCAATTTAGTGACTGGTACTCTTATAAAAAGAATGAGATTTGGAGACAAAGGGAAAGATGGCAGTGTAAAGATAGAATCAGGGACTGGAATTATGCATTCACCAACAAGGCATACACATTGAGTGTGTGGGCAATGGCAGGAAGCTAAGAAGAGGTAAGAAATAATTCTTCCCTAGAGCCTTCAGAGGGAGCTCAGCTCTGCCAACACCGGATTCTGATCACACCTTTAGTCTATGGTACCTGACCCCCTTGCTCCTAACTGTATTCGTTAGCAAAAGATTCTTTTACTGTATAGTATGTCTAAGTGTAGTATCTCCAGACTTTAAAATGTTCATCCTAGAAGACAACCTTCATGAAACCTATCTGTTTGTTTGTTTGTTTGTTTGTTTGTTTGTGGGCCATACCCAGCAGTGCTCAGGGGTTATTACTCCTGGCTCTGTACTCATGAATTACACCTAGCAGTGCTCTGGGGACTATATGGGATGCTAGAGATGTAATCCAGATTGCCTGCATGAAGGAAAATTCTCTATTGATTGTACTATTGCTTCAGTCGATAAAAGCTATTCTCGGTACTAACCATTTTTTTTCAGCATTTAACATCTTGCTTGGTACACAAATAGAAAGGATTCAATTTTTGGTTTGTGAACTTGTCTAAGGTCACTTACCTGGTAAATCACATTCCAAATCCAAAATCCAAAAGTCTTCATCCCAAATTCTAAATTCTTTCCAGGTGTTGAATGGGCTTTTTGATGACAGAAGTGAAGTCAGTTGGATAGCTTTATTTGTTTCCTCTACTCTGAGCATTTTATTTCATGTGACGTATTTGATATGCCAAAAACAGTAACAACAAGTCTCACAATAGAGGCGTTACTGGTGCCCGCTCGAGCAAATCGATGAACAATGGGAGGACAGTGACAGTGAGTTTTAAAATCTTAGGGAAACGATTTTTAGCTGCTTCTTCAACGACAAGTATCTCCAGGGCAAAAGGCTCAACCTGACTCAATATTTATATTATCCATAGTATCTAGCTATCTGGCACTTAGTAGGTTGAGAACATAAATAAATATTTAAATAAGTGTGTAGGTCTAAGAGTCAGGAATGTGATTTAGTAGTAGCACATACATGGTATAAACATATGCAGATACAATTTTTACTCCAAATAGCTTAGCTGTGCACGTAAGAGGCAGACCTAAGCATGGATACCCTCAAACAAAAGAAGCAATTCTATACTACTTTTTTTTTTTCCCCCTCGCACCAATTCTGAGAACTTTCTACTTAGAACCTAGGCAGGGCGGCGCCTAGAACCCCGCCCCCGCGGCTGACGCCGCGATCCGGAGGCCCGAACTACAAATCCCAGAATGCCTTGCAAAGGCTGGGCATCCACTTCCGGTCGGAAGCGCCCCGGAGGCGGTGGACTTGGGGCTGCTCTTGCACAGGCTTACCGGGTTGGGCGGGTTTACCGGGGAGGGCTTAGACGTGGGGTCTGGGTTCCCCGCCCGCCGACGACATGGATGAGGATGGGCTTCCGCTCATGGGGTCGGGCATAGACCTGACCAAGGTTTGTAAAAAACGGAGTTGGACTTCCGGAGACCTGGGAGGAGGATGGGCAAGGGAGCACTCCCCCCCCCCCCCCCCCCATCTCATCGCCCTGGTCCTGGCCCTCGACCCCTCTCCTGGGGCCCAGGGAGGACGAGCTCCACAGTTTCCCTTCGAGAACCCCCAAGCCCACCCACTGTGGCCTTCCCAGCTTTCCCATAAGTGGTGCGGGGGGGCGGCGGGACCTGCTGGCCACTCAGGCTGGGGGCGACCTCCAAGCCGCCTCTTTAATTTGGTCCCCAAGTTTCTTGCGTGCGCCCGTGCGTTGCTCGTATCCGAAAAAAAAAAAAAAGTTCATCTCTGGAAATCTGGAGCCCATTTTCCAGTGGGCCGACCCCGCCCAGGTTGCAGGAAAACAAGTTCAATGACTGTTTCTCGGTGTGTCCAGCAATACCCCCCTACCACCACCACCACCACTGTTGTGCCTATCGAGGGGATCTCACCGTGTACCTGCCCCCTCCGGACAAGCCATGTCTGTTTTTTTGCACATCACAGGTGCCCGCTATTCAGCAGAAAAGAACGGTGGCATTTCTAAACCAATTTGTGGTGCACACGGTACAGTTCCTCAACCGCTTTGCGACGGTGTGCGAGGAGGTAGGTTTCATGGTACTGGTGGCAAGTGGTGAAGCGCCAAGCGCAGCCGTGGCTGTGTTCAGGTGCCAAGCGGCTCTGGTCACCCCCAGCGTCAGCCCTCTCCGATGTTCCTTGTCCTCCATCCTGCTGCCCACCTCTGCTGCATTAAGTTTTGCTAAAGTTAAACCCATTGTGATCCCCGAGAACAGAAGTGGAAAACTTTTCTGTTTGACAGGGAGTGTGATATATCTCTCAGGCCAAAGGTTTACATGTTTAAGTACAATGTTTCTATTGAAATTACATTCCTTGGGGCCGGAGCTATGGTACTGTAGGGTAGGGTACTTGCCTTGCACGTGGCCCACTTGGGATCAGTTCCTGGGAATCCCATAGGGACCAAACCCTCAGCACCGCTTGGTGTGGCCCCCAAATCCGAAAGTGGTGATTTTTCATTTAAATACAGTTGCATTTTATTTAAATACAGTTGCATTCCTTGACCTTAAAGATGTTTGGGGAGGTAACCTAAGTACCAACAGTTGTTTCTGCCAATGACTTGTTAAGTGAGGATTATGTACCCAATTAAGGATTAAGTATCAGATGTAAAGGAGGGAGAGGAAGGAAGTAGCAGATATAAAGGAGGGGAAGAAAAGAGGTGAAAGGAGAGAGTGTACCACAGAATTACTGGGAGACAGGTGGGTTGAAACTAAGAAAGGAGAAGGGTTGGAGCCTGAGTGATATGGTATAGTAGCTTAAGTGCTTATCTTACACGCATCTGACCCAGATTTGATTCCTGGCACCCCACAAGGTCCCCTGAGTTCATGCCCTGAGCACTACTAGGTTTGCACCCCCCCAAAAAAAAGAGAAAAGTAAAATAAGAGAATTCCCAGAGGAACCAGTGTTCCCTTTATTCTTTATAAGGTATAGCCTTCCTTAACAAGTAGTTTTCTGCTAGGTGTGTTACTTTTAACAATTACATGGTGGAGCCCCGGACGGAAGTTCTAACATGTGCATTGTACTTCATCCTGGTTCTACCCAGGGTCCCACAATGCCACCCAGCATTGTTGGTTATAACCATGGATGTTAGTGGGCTGATGGTATAGCAGGGGTGGTCCCTACAGGATCCCAGCAACATCCTCGACCGTAGCACTGCACCTTCACCTGGTTATCCAAGAATCACTGGGAGAGACTGCCTATGCGCCCCCCCCCCCCACACACACACACACAAATTACATAGTCAGGAAAAACCATCTTTACTTATATAGGATTACAGCTGTTGTGTTTGTCTAGTCACTCTCATCTGCCTTTACACTCAAAAGGGGGGAAAATGAAGTTGATGAGTATTGGTCTTGGGTTAGTTTATATTATTTAAGATCTACATTAATCTCAGACTGGGTGCTGGTTTCAGTTTCCTCTTGTCCTGCCATCATTCTAAGTGGGCTATTGAATTGATGGTCTAAAAGGCAGTGAATTAAGAGATTAGTCCTGGGGTCAGAAAGAGAGCACAAGATCTAGAATCTGACCCCCTGGCAGGCCCTTCTCTCTGAAAGGATTTCGTCCCTCACTATGCTTTTCTATATTTCTGTGGGATTTAGGGATGTGGATGCTGGCAGCATTTGGACCAGCTGGTTCACACCAGTCAGTACTTGGACACAGGCAGGGTACTTGGAAGTACTCAGGACCATGTGTCACCGGGGCTTGAACTTGGGACCTCAAGCATGCAAAAGCATATGCTTTAGTCCTTCACTTTTGCATCAAGGTGAAATAGAGAATGAGCTAGAGAGACAGACTGTTGCAGAATGGTTAGCACAGGGCAATAGATGCCCTGTCTTCATTTTTCTGGTCACCAGGGTGAAACATCAAACAGCAGCCAGCAATCACTGGTCAGGAAGCAGCTTGACAGACTGTCCCAAGGCAAGAAAAGTGTCTGCAGCACCTGCTTTTGTGCAGGTGGTATAGCAGGGGTGTGAGCATTCAGAGATGTGAGTGCTACTGACCCATGCCAGCCCCTCCATCTTGGTGCTCGCTCATGAGTGACCAGCATCTCCTGGTGCACTCCCAAGATTGCATCACTGGTCCCAGTTTCCTCTTACACTCTGAAGAGCCTGGGAGCATGACTTCGTATTAGTTGCCTCCTTGAATGTGGGAGTTGCAGAATATTGGGCAACAGGTAAAGGTTTCTGAATGCGCAGAGACCAAAAATGAATCCAGAATCAACTGCTTGGTGAATTGGGGTGTTTCTGGCAGCACACACCCATGTATTATTTCTCAGGCAGAAGGGGGTCATGAGTGAAAAACATTTATGAAGCCCTAGGCAAAGGATTGTTACCCCTTTCTTCTTCTTTTTTATTTTATTTTATTTTTTTGCTTTCTGCTTTTGGGGTCACACACAGAGATGTCCAGGGGTTATTCCTGGCTCTACACTCAGGAATTCCCCCCCCCCCCAGCAGTGCTCGGGAGACTGTATGGGACGCCGGGAATCGAACCTAGGTTGGCTTTGTGCAAGGCAAACTCTCTACCCACTGTGCTACCACTCCAGCCCTGTTACTCCTTTCTTAAGGGTAATAATCTCTGGATTTACTGATTTGTCATAAATACACCCTGTGTGTGTATATGTGTATGTGATTTTTTGTTTTGTTTTGTTTCTGGAGGGGGATGGTAATTCGGACCATACCCCCCAGCTAAGCTCGGGGCTTACTCCCGGCTCTGGGTGCAGTGATCATCCGTGATCACTCCTGGCAGTACTTGGGAACTGTGTCTGCCCTGTCCTCTCCCTCCTGCCTTTTTGGGGCTGGACGGTGGCAATCTTGTAATTTAGATGTTAATGTCAACTATGAGCCTTTTGCTTAGTGTGACGACAGTAATTACAGTGTGTATTCTGTGCAGCTTAAGCACTCAGTACATTATGTCTGTTTAATATTCAAAGCATAGTCCTTTATGAGAAGTCCAGTGAACTCCGAGTGCGGAACTGAAATTTAGAGAGGCTTAACCCATTTACCTAGATGCTTCTTCATTCACTCAGGATATGTTTGACTTATCTACACTCAAACAACTAACAGTAGCAGAGTTGAGATTCCAGTTCTGATCAGTTCATTGGAAATCACAAAAGTGCTCTCTCGATTCCAATATTGCACTAATCTGAATTAAGTGGCATCTTTTTTTTGTTTTCAAAGGCAAGACAGTAGTGACTGATTCATAGCTATTTTAACATTTATTTATTTGATATTCTTTTCTTTGCTAGCTCAAGTCCATTTGCTATAAATTCCAATGATATAATGTATGCATTCTAACATAAAGTATGTTTTCTCTCCAGTTAAGAATAATATGGCTTTTTGAAGCAGGTTGTAATGTGTCAATATCAACTATTAGACCTGTAGTACTTAGTTCAAGTTTTTAACAAAAAGCTAAACTTTACCTCAACCAAAACCTAAACCTAAAATGTTTGTTTTTGTTTTTTGACCTGGCAGTGAACTGGATGAAAAAGAAAGCTTGCTGTGTGTGTGTTGGGGGGGGGGGGGGTCCTGGTGGTGGGTTGGGGGGCACACTGTTGATGTTATTTTTCACATTATCCTGGTTTGAAAACCAAACCCGAACTGTAATAACTTCGGTTATAGCTAAACTCAAACCAGTAATAAATTGGAAACAAATTTTTAGGACTCTTTCTTCATCACTAATACTGGTTTTAGAGTCGTCTCATAAAAAGAAAAGTACAACAATATGTTCTGTGAGGAATGTAACTTTTTATTTACTTCATTGGGGGGTTTTGGTCCACATCTGGTGATGCTCAGGGGTTACTCCTGGCTCTGTACTCAGGGATCACTCCTGGTAGACTCGGGGAACCATGAGAGGTGTCAGGGATTGAACCCAGGTCAGCAGCAAGCTCCCTATGTGCTGTATTATGGCTCGGATCCCTCAAATATAGCTTTTTTAATGTTTCCTGGACAGTAGGCTATAATATAACTCTGCTCTTGGCTCAGTGTCGAGAGAGGTGGTTAGAACTTGAGGAGAAGTTGTTGAATCTGACCCAAGTTACAAACTTTATTAATTTCTTCTTCCTTCACAAATCCCCAGTAAGCGCTGCTATTCTGACTGCGGTCAATAAAATCAGAACAGATTTAGAGGGGATGTGGGGGAGGTGGGGAAATTACAGGGGGGAAGGAGCAGTGTGCCACAGAAGTCCTATGGATATTCCAAATAAAACTGACCAGAAATTTCACCTTTCAGGGAATTTTAAAGCCACAGTGTGCTCTAAGTTTACAGGGAGGGAGGTCTATATGTTACTTGACTCCTACTGAATTTGCCAAGGATACCGGCATTTTAATCTTGCTCTTTTAAAAAAGTAAATGAATCTCTGTGCTAAGTCCTTGTGCCTCCGGGGCCGTGGCCGTGCCGGAGAGCCGCTCGTGGGGGGCAGCTGGCGACCTTGGTGGGGCGTGGGGGACGGCCCACAAAGCCCCCCTTCCCATGAGGTCCCCGCCGCTCCCCCGAGCCCGGCTCAAACCCGCTTTCCACAAGGCTCCCGTGCGGCCGCCATCTTTCTTTCCAGAGAGGAGCAGGCGGGCTGGTCAACGCCCTTCCCCCTCCGGGCAGGCTTGGTGGCGCGGATCAACACAAGTCCATTTGCTTTTCTGCTCCAAGCGGCTGGTTCTCTGTGCTAAGTCCTTGTGCCTCCGGGGCCGTGGCCGTGCCGGAGAGCCGCTCGTGGGGGGCAGCTGGCGACCTTGGTGGGGCGTGGGGGACGGCCCACAAAGCCCCCCTTCCCATGAGGTCCCCGCCGCTCCCCCGAGCCCGGCTCAAACCCGCTTTCCACAAGGCTCCCGTGCGGCCGCCATCTTTCTTTCCAGAGAGGAGCAGGCGGGCTGGTCAACGCCCTTCCCCCTCCGGGCAGGCTTGGTGGCGCGGATCAACACAAGTCCATTTGCTTTTCTGCTCCAAGCGGCTGGTTCTCTGTGCTAAGTCCTTGTGCCTCCGGGGCCGTGGCCGTGCCGGAGAGCCGCTCGTGGGGGGCAGCTGGCGACCTTGGTGGG